AATAAATTTTACGTATTTGTACACCTTATGTTTTACGTAATTTATTTCTGTAATACTAAGATTAGCATATAAATATTATATGCAAGGGTTTCATAGTACACCAATTTTACGGATTATTTTTGAATTTTACTAAAAGAAATTTTATGTAAGTACAGGTAAAGGCTTAATCCATACCTCTCCAGATTTACTTTAAAAATATGTCTCTTTTGAAAAAATCTAAGAAAAGAAATAGAAATGTTAAAAAATGCTAGAAGAGAAAAATATATTTAATTTTTGCCTACAGGAGCATTTATTTTTATTACAATAAAAATAGATATACGTTAAAAGCTTTTTCGTCTAGAAGGTAATACCAACAAAATATATATCTTTTTCTACTCTTTAGTGATAAACAATACGTAAGTGATTTGAATTCATGTTGTTATTTTTTACACATAGTAATTTCGCTCAATTATATTAAATTAATTTTATCATTTATTTATTAAAAAATATATATATACGAAATTGGAAGGTATACACTGAGATGTGAATTATAGGTTTTTGTTTAATGAATACTTCTTCGAGTCAACAATAATTATTAATTCCAGCATGTTAATATCTCTTTAATCCGTTAAAGTAATGTAAATATTTTTTTTTGCTTTCGCGCATGGCTTTGATCTGTCGCACCCTTTGAGGCGCGTTGCAAGAGAAAATTTTCTAAAAAGTTAGCCAATGTCTATAAATGAGAGAAAAACGATTGTAACAAGCTGATTGTGCATTGTGGTACAATAAAAGACTCGTTTCCACTGCTTTAAAATTTGGAAAAATTTGTAAAAAATCTCCGAAAATCTTTTATTTATTTCTAAAGCCACCCTATATGGCATGGACCATAAATTCAGAGCAAAATAAGATTTGGAAATTTATTTGCAAGTAAAAGTTTTTAAATGTGGACATTTTATTGAATTCGAATTTGATTATGTTGCTGCCAGTCTGGATGGAATTAAAAAAAAAACAAAACTCTATGATAGAGTTAAAATGTCCATATAGAGCTGAAGGACTGACTGTAGCAGAAGAAATATGCAGTAGAGAAATAACTTTTTGGAAAAAGAATAATTCCATTAAGGACAACCACTATTGGTATTTTCAAATTCAGGGCTAGCTGCACATAACACAAATGGATTTTTGCATTTTGTGCTTTTGTGCTTTTGGACTTCTGGAGGAATAAAAGTGGAGAAAATATCTCATATTGACAGCTTTTGAGAAGAAAAGATACAAAATAAAATTAAAATTTTTTATATGCAATATGTCTTGCCGGAACTTGTTGACAGCGAAGCAATAGAGACATGGAAGTACGGGACAAAATATTAAATAATTCGTGAGAAATTTTGTTTAATGTTTATTAACAGAACGCAAGGAATCTTATATTATTTTGAATATTTTTATTAATTTAAGAATTAAATTTTATTTATTTCTAAAACACGGTAGTAGGCGATCCATTTAAGATATGATTAATGTCTTATTATTATAATACACTATTTCAAATTTAAGATTTTACCAGTGGCAGTGGTAATTGATGATATATAATTATTATTATACCAAATGTTTTAAAAGGCTACACCAACTAGTGGACCACGATTTTAAGTCCCCAAATAATAGTTTCAAGATTTTGATTCGGATTAGAAGTTTTACTATACAGGGTTTTGTGTCAAAGCCAAGTCATGTAGGTATTGTTATTGTAATACGTAGATGAGTAACTATTATCAATAGAAATTTAAAACCCAAACATAAATCTTTGTAACGACGTTATTTATAACTTTATTAACTTCATAACGGTCAAAAATGTTAGTTAACTTATTTAATTTTAAATATAAATTGATTTTCATTTAGAAATTTTCGAAAAGTTCACTATATTGTTTAGTTGTTGCAACTTTACTGTGCTTAAGCAGCGTTCAGATTAAAATATGAATTTATGGAGCTTAACTGAAAAACAGAAACTAATGCTTTCATTCCAAAAAAAGTTTTATGGCCAATAAAAAAAATTTCGAATTGTGATATCTGCAAGTCCTTATTTAAAACCTTTAAATTTAATATTATCATTATACAAGAGTTATTTTTACAAATTGATACAAATATCGAACATAAGTTTGTCGACATAAACATTTCCATAATACAAATAAATATATCTCTGTTAAAGAATACTCATAATTATCGAGACATTGTGAGATAAAAAACAGACAATTAATTAAAAGCGTACTCACAATTTTTCAGGTATAGAAGTTTCAATGCTATACTGTTTCCCAAATTATGAAAATACTAAAGAATATTAAAAAAAAAAAAAATAAAAAGCCAATTAAACAATGTGTTAATATCTACAGAAGAACATCGTATTTCTTTTTTGGAAACAAAAAGTAGTCGAAAATTGTGAAAATAACAACATATTTTTATTTCACAAAAATAATAAGTCAGTTTTTGTTTTTTATGTAAATCATATCATTTTCAAGGCAATAAAACAGAAGAAAGTCACCGAATATCGATTTCAAAAAGGTCTATTAGTTTTTATAGGAAATGGAAAGGGAAAGAACGCTTTTTAAACAAGTTAAAATTCTTTACTAATTTCGATAACTATAAACGGATTAAGGTATTTTGTACCGTGTTAAAAAATTTAAGAAAAATTTTGAAGAATATTTCTTTTTTTTTTAAATTAGTAAACTTTGACAAACATATAAAATATTCTAAAAGATAAATCACATTTATGTGTTTATACAAAAATTTTATTTATTTTTCTAAAATAATATGGATTGTCCTCTAAAATATATATAGTGGCTCGCAAAAAGTCTGCTTTTTATGTTACTTTTTTCAGAAAATGTTATTCCTGATAAAACTTGGTGTTTAATTAAACCTAAAACTCTATTTATTCAAAAAATTCTGTACCATAAATATAAATTTGGCTGCACAGTGAACTTAGGTACTCTTCTAGGAATCGAACCCAAATTTTTACATATAAGATTAATTTAAGAAGATGTATATAACTCCACATAGTAGTTTTTTAGTTAATACAAATAATATAGATTATTATATCCTTTTTAACCTACTTCAAAAAGGAGGAGGTTCTCAATTCGTCTGTATATATATTTTTTTTAAGTATGTTCAGCGATAATCCTTTAACACAATGTCCGATTTAAATGATTCTTTTTTGCTGGAAAGGGGGGTACTTCCGGGATGGTCCCTTGAAAATTTGGTCAAAATCTAATAATTGGGTCAATGGGAAAATCCTCAAACTTTTCATTTTTTATGTATGTTTAGCGATAATTCTTTACCACCTTGTCCGATTTCTATAATGCTTTTAGTAAGAGGGTACCTCAGGGGTGGTCCCATATAAATTTGGTTCAGATGTGGTGATGGCATCTGCACGATTTTAAAGTCGGTTTTTTAAAATTACTTTTAATACATCTTACGTAAATTAAAAGTTTAATAATTTGGTGCTTTCTTGATGCGTCGTTTTATGATTTCACTTTGCATATGTTTAAGTACCGATAATTATTATTACTGGCAGTTTATTTTAAATCATTAAAATAATATTTTGTTGATCCAAAAAAGGCAAACAAAAAAGCTATATCACATTCAGTGTAATAATAAAAGTTAGATATATAAATATAGTATATATATAACAGACTAAACTTTCACTTTCAATCTCACCTTTTGTCGTAAAAGACTTTTAAATTTTTACCAGTGACGTCCGTAACGGGTTTGAACTGAATATTTTTGAACAAAAATATGGTGCGCCACTGCTTTTTCTAAAAACCAAATTATCTTTAAAATCCTTATTTATTTTGGAGCAAATTTGGTTTATGACGTACTTTCGTACAAAGCACCCTTTTCGGGTAAGAAAATAAAAACCAGTATATTGAAACTGCTCTTGATATTTTGTTGAAATTTGGTAGGAACCCACCATGAGTGGAAACACTTTTTTTGGGCAAAATTTCATAAAAATATCTAAAGTGATAAGAAACTTATGATAAAATAGTTTTTTTTTTCTTAAAACTTTAACACCCAAAGGATTCGCACCTCTAAGTATCGGCACTCAATTAATAAATACCCTGTATTAATTGATATTACCTTATTCGAACCAATCGTCTATTTTTTCGTTATTTGTATTTATATTTCACAACTCTATACTCTTAAATGTAATTTAATCTAACTACACCTATTCACTAAATTAAAATATAAAAATAATGTAAAACCCTCTAAAAATCGAACTGCGTTATAACAATATCTCGCAAGGCACCGAGAAAAACAAATACGATTCTGGTTCCCCTAATTTAGGCAACTCTGACTCACTCGGCAGCCGTGTTAGGTGTTTTCGGTTCTTTTTTCTTAATTTCGCGCGTTAGAGTTTGGAATACGTATCCCTCGTATCTACAGGCAATTGTTAAAATTATGAATGAATCCGGATTTTGTTTAGTCTCGGAAGTAATTTTGTAGTATTTAGGCTCCACCCTAAAGTTGTAATTTTTATACCTACTAAACTACCGTTGCCCCGCAGGTCTTTCAGTTTGTAATGTAAATTTTCCTCTTAATAGTGTTATGAAATTCTTAAAGCCTACCCTGTGTATGCTCGACCTTCATATTGCAATCGACTCGTGCTCGAGGCAACGGAATGTTCTGGGAATGCCGCTGAGGCTGAGGCTGGAACGGCGGAGAGTGTCGTTTAGTCATAGGAATGGAATGTTCGAGACGACCGTCGAGAGCCTCTAGCATTTTCCAGTAGCGGAGTTGGACTAATATAAATAGCCGACGTATCAGCGCCGAGTTTAGTTTAAGATAGAACATTGTATTGGAAAGTTAAAGTGTAAGAAATAAATTAGAATTGTTAGTTAGTATTATATAAATTAAATAGTACGTCTGAAATAAATTGTAAATAGTGTGTTTTTAAATAAATAAATTAAATTAGACTTTCGTCACAATAGGAAATCATGATTTACTTTATCAAACGCTTTTACAAAGTAGGTATAAATATAATCCACTTGTAATTTGTTCAGATTGTTCAGAATTTTTAATACTTACTGTAAATTACAATCTTCTTTAGATAATAAATCTTCAATTAACCAGTACAAAAACTGCCACATTAATGCAGTACAAATTCCCAGACATGCACACCATATGAAAAATACGTTGTTTCTAATATTTAAGAAAAACTGGCCTATATCTCGGATAAAGGTTTTTGAAGTTTTGTTCTGACTAAACTAAAAAATGTTGATAATTATTATACAGGGTGAATCGGGAGGAACGGACCAAACTCCAAAAGTGTATTATATACATGAAAATAATGTAAAAAAACTCATATGTTCTTATCCGATTTTTATTTGTAAAAGTAGACACTCGTGATGCACTAATTCGAAGTATTCAAAATACTGCTGCCGATATTAAAGACGAATCAATTCAGAGAGTAACAGGCACTCTTTATAAACTAAGCAGAAAATATTTAGAGTTTTTTTACTTTATTTTTATGTGTACATTGCATTCTTGGAGTTTGGTCCGTTCCTCCCGACTCACACTGTATACCTGGAAATTAAATTTTACGATGTCGATGGATATAATTCAGGGGTGTGCTTATGAGATTAAAATTATGACAGTAATACATTTGTTCGGTTGGGGTTCGGCTCTTGAGGCTAGGGCAGTTCGGGTCGAGATATTAAGACCAAACTTCGTATATAGATGTATTTTCCCAAAAATATAAAAATTACATAAAAAAAATGTCTGCCACCCCACCCCCTAGCTGATATGGAGGGGGTGTAACCCTAAAAAAATAAAGTTAGTTTTTTCAATAAAACAGTTGAAATCTACGATTTTTTTTTTCATACATACCCAAAATTTGAAATTTTTTTGAAAACATTTTTCCAAAAATATTTTTGGACTGAAAAATTTTCGACTTGAACTGTCATAGTTCGGATGTAGGGGCTGACATTTAAAAATAATTATAGATGAGATAAAAATCTAATCAAAAAGTTTTAAAATTTTGGGTATGTATGTAGAAAAAATCATATATTTCAACTGATTAATTTAAAAAGTTCTACCTTCATTTCTTAGGGATTCCACCCCCTCCATCTTCCTATAGGTGATGGTAAAATTTTAATACAATAACGTTGCGAATCAGGTCTATTGTAAATGAGCCAAAAATTAGATTTTTATACCATATGTAACTATTTTTAAATGCCAGCCCCAACATCCGAATTATGACAGTTCGGGTCGAAAACTTTTCAGTCCACAAATATTTTTGGAAAAATGTTTGAAATTTTCGGTATGCATGTAGAAAAAATCGTAGATTTCAACTGATTCATTTAAAAAATTCTACCTTAATTTTTTAAGGATGCCACCCCCTCCATCTTACTGTAGGGGATGGTGGTGGTAAGATTTTTCTATAAAAACGTTGAAAATCAGGTCTATTGTAAATGTTTCAAAAATTATATTTTTACCTCATCTGTAACTATTTCTAAATACCAGCCCCACATCCGAACTATGACAGTTCAGGTCAAAAATTTTTCAAAGTCCAAAAATATTTTTGGAAAAATGTTATCATATATTTTGAAATATTGGGTTTTTATGTAGAAAATATTGGTAGATTCCAACTGTTTTACTGAAAAAATTGTAATTTTATTTTTTAAGGATGTTACCCCCTCCATATCAGGTAGGAGGTGGGGTGGGCGAAATTATTTTATTCGATCTTCAAATTTTTGGGATAATACATCTATATACCAATTTTGATCTCAATATCTCGACCCGAACTGCCCTAGCCCCGAGGGGAGAACTCCAACCCATTTGTTCATATGTTCAATACTAAAGATGTCGGTTTCCAAATTTGAGAGGTAAAAATTATTGTTTAAAACTTTGTCTTTATCGGTTATAAGTTGGTAGGATAAGATTTAACCCAAAACATTTCTGCCTCTTGGGTATCTGTATCTGTAACCTGTGGAGGGAGGGTTAACTCACGGCACTTAGGCCTCAGTAGGCCTATTGTGCATCGTCCTAAGTAAATAGGCACCTCCTAGCTCGTGAGCCAGCTTACAGATTTAATGTAGTTGACAACGTCGCCAAGAGGTGCTTATCTTATATGGGCCGGTGTTAGCCAATTCTCGCCGAACACAAATCTTTTAATAAATGAGAGCGTCGGACAATCGTAGATGATATGCTCGACGGTCTCATCTTCTTATTCGCATCCTCTGCAAAGTGCCGATTTTGCCAGCCGCATGATATGGAGATGCTTCCGTAGTTGGAAATATCCAGTCAGAATGCCTGTGATCAGGCGCATATTCTGTCTAGTCATAGTATTTGTTTGCTGTAGTGTTGCCAGGATAACTTAAAAGCTCCCTGGTAAGTCTGCAATTTCTTGTTTCATTCCATCTTTTCTTGAATTTCACAAGAAAATGTTCTTTAATTAGGTTTGTCACTACCAATGTTGTCAGTCCAATAGAGGAGCCAGGTCCAAAAAGTATTTGGTTGGCTGCCTTCTTGGTAAGTGAATCATCAAGACGATTACCTTTCGATGTGGCGTGACCTTTGATCAATCTTAAGTTGACCATATTGTTGATGGATACTTCGGCCAAAGCTTCGTGACATTCTAGTTATAACCCTGAATAAATTCGTGGTCTGTCCAGGGTGAGTAGTACTTGTCTGCTATCTGTATAGATGAGCATGTTTCTTCCAGCGATATTATTTCTGGTGATTTGTTTTGCTGCTATGAGAATCCCCGTGAGCTCGGTTTGAACTACACTGGCACTACTGCTCACAATCCATTTTAGGTTTAGGTTTCAGGATCTGGAGTATATTCCACATCCTGAACCTTGTTTTGTTTTAGAACCGTCGGTGTAGACATGAATTGTATCTGCCACTTCCGGCTCTTCTATTTGTTTTATTATGACTTTATATGGTATGTGGAAGATATATCTCGCTTGAAGCAGTGGGAGCCTATCGAGCCTGTCTCTTGGGTATATTGCTACCTTTTTGAAAAGTGAATAAAGGTAAGGTTGCCAGATTTATAACAGGGAAAAGCGGGACAACGGTGACGACAGGGATCTGGTTAAAATATTTTTGGCGAGCTTCCAAAGAAATCCTCATCAGCTTATATTTTAATAAACTCCTGGTACTGCTGCCGAGCTTCTAAAAAAATCCTCAACTTATATTTTTATAAAAAAGCAGGTCCTTTTAAAGGACATGTGCTTTAAAAAAAGACATGTGCCGTAAAAAGGACACGTACCGTAAAAAGGACATTTTAAGATTTAAAAAGTCACAAGGACAATTTGTTTGAAAAAAGTACAGGTAGCAACCCTAGTATATTGTATTCTCATACTTTCCCCGTATGGTTTCAGTGGATAACTTTCGAATAAATGTAGGATTTTATCGATTTTATCCAAAATCCACAGTGGCAATTATTTGCCTATTTACTTCTCTTTTTTGCGAAAGAAGACCATTAAAAATGTATACCTAGGTACCTGTTTCTGTTTGCTAACATGTATCTCATAACATTTTAAAAATAATTAACTGGTCTATGTATAAGGTTCCCTTCTGTAACCGATATAAAAAGTTCTTCTATCCGAAACAAAAAGCTTCAATTCGCTTGAAAAAAGGGTTAGAGAAAAATGAAAATTTTCCAAAAAAAATATACTGGGATCCTTTTAAAAACTCAACTTAATGGCATTTCTGGTAAAGTAGTAAAACGACCAGTTTTTTTAAGTAGGTATTAATGTCAATTCGAAATTATATTTACTAGAGTTGTCCCAAATTTGATCCAAATCGCTCCATAAATAAAAGAAATATTAACGTCGTTCTGGTCTCATTGTCACCCGGTATACATTAAAATTAAGCAAATTAAAAAACTTTTGCCTATTTTTTTCCTTAAAACTGTCGATAATGCAGAAATAAGCGTGTTTCACATAATGATTAGTGATATTTATCGACCCAATTATTATACTAAAAAAAAACTAGTAGTTTTTACCAATTCTTTTACATAAGTAATTAGCATGGTTATTAAAAGTCAATTGGGAACAACAATCAAGTATTTAATTAGCTACATTTGCCCAAATTGGTTAACCATCTATTTCAATAATGTTAAAAATTAGAAACCCTCCAAATTATTTATTTAAAGAAAATAAATGAATGAAAAATTCTCAATACGTTTACTATAATATACGAAGATAAGTATCCTGAGTTGATACTTTTTAACTCTGTATAAAAGTCATCAAACAACTTTTTCAAAAAAATTCAAAAACAAGTTTAAGCGGCATTGTCGCCAATATGCGAGCGTCCGTAATAAGAACAAAAACATCGTAGGCGTTCTGGCAAAAATTAGTAGTTTTGAGAAAAACGGGTTTTAAGTTTATATTCATTAGCTAAATTTCATTTTAGAGAAAAGTTTATTTTTAAGCTAAAATAAAATTTGATAAGGTACTACCAGTAAAAAAATTTAAAAGTGGATTTCCTATCAAAATCGACATTAGATGGATTTAAATATTTTAAACATTGTAAGGGGTTTTCTCGCCTCAGAGAAAACGATTCCTTACGAATGACGCTGGTTACGGGCGGTTCTCGAGCGTCAGATTTTTGGTGATGGTTTACTCCACGAACTTTCGAAACGGCGTCGAAAGTACTCGGATAGCTACAGATGGAGATAAAAAATTCCAGGGTCAAAGGTCACTTAGACACAGGTAATAGTAGGCCACAAGTAACGGGCTATAATCGTAGCTTGGACAGAATTAATCACTAGCTAAAATATAAGGGGGAAATAAATTTAGGAATTAACAACCAGTAATACGGCCAGTTAACATTGACACATATATTATTTTAAAATATTTACAAACGAAAAGGAATAAATTATTATATTTCAAATGTTGTTCCCCAAAATATATTTTGTGAGCCGGTTCGGCGTGGCTTAGTGATCCAGGATGGTGTGGCGAAGATGTGACAAGAGGTTAGGTTACCTTTACGGTGATGTAAGTCCCTCGAAGTCAATACCTTCGTGGGAGAGATTCACGGGAAAGGAACACCTACAAAGTCAATACCTTTGCAGGTAAGGGTCGGGACGTCGGGAAGCCCACAGAGTCAATACCTCTGCAGAAGCAGGAGAGGAGAGTCTTACTAAGTCAGTACCTTAGTTCGACTGACGAGAATTAAATTCGAAGCTCTTTATATACTTGTCTCTGCTTGGCAAAAACGGCTACATGCTAAACCATAGGCGTATCTAGAACGGTGT